TTTTTTTTTTTTTGGTCAGGGGATTCTTTAGTACCTCCCGAGGTGGACTTTGACAGACTGATGGCCAGTCTGCAGGACCTGAGTGAGCTGGTGGTAGAGGGAGAGGCCCAGGTGACGCCAGTGCCCGGTGGGGCGCAGCTCCGAACCCTAGAGCCCATCCCACTAAAGCTCTACCGGAATGGCATTATGATGTTTGATGGGCCCTTCCATCCCTTCTACGATCCCTCCACACAGGTAGGATGGGGTTTTGGGGCCCATGCCTGCTCGCCCCCGCTGGGAGACAGTGGAGTCAGCTCACTGCACTAGCTTGCCCTCCACAGAGTACACAGGCCCCACCTCTCCAATCTCAGAGTTCCCAGTATTTCCAGAGTATGGCTACAGAGGCCTGTTCACTCTCTTGCAGCGCTGCCTCCGGGACATACTGGATGGCTTCTTTCCCTCAGAGCTCCAGCGGCTGTATCCTGATGGAGTCCCCTTTAAGGTAACCAGTGGCTCCTCAACCCACCCTTTCCCTGTGTGCTTTGAAGAGACTGGGGATAGCTTGCTCAGGGATCAGCTATCCTTAGAGGGAGCCATCCACTCCAGGGACCCAATCAGGATGCCCTGCGGGAAGGGGAGGGAGCAGAGTGTGGAGGCTGTCCCGGCCAGAGTGGCCATGAGGCCCCCCAAGCTGAGCAGCAGACTGTGCCCTCTGCTGGCATCTTGAAGGTACAACATTGGCATGAGACCACTACTCTGCCCTCCCCAGGATTCAGGACACCTTGCCATCCTGAGGTTCTAGAGGAATCTACACTGTACAGGGGGCATAGTTTTCTCCAGAAGCTTTGGAAACCACGTGGTTGGGGTGGAAGCGGGGTATGAGTTGCAAACAATGAAAAGAGGCAGGGCTGGCTGGGCTGCGGGGACAGGAGAGGAGCCCATGTGTTGCCAGGGCTGAGTGAGAGGAAGGTCGTCATGGGGACCAGGAGGCAGCAGGTTCTAGAGGCGGGTATCTCCACAGCAAGGGTGTGTGCCATCATGACACAAAGGAGCGTGAGTCATGACTGGGGGTTTTGAGAGTTCTGTGTGGAGACAGCCTTGGAACGGCCTGGACAGGGCAACTGTGGAGACCGCAGTGATAGCGGCTGCCCTGCAGACTAGAGCAGGGCTCTGCCCTGTCCTGACATCATTGCCCGTGTGACCTCCAGTGTGTGTGGGGGTCGTCAGTACTGTGGCTTCAGCTAGCATGAGTAAGAGTGGCGCTTGCAGGAACGGAGCCTGAGGCGGTAGCAGCGACATGAACTGTGGTTCTCTTGGGTTATTCTCGAGGCCTTTGGGCAAATGGGTGGGGGTGAGGTTGCAGAGCTGAGGAGCTGGGTTCCCTGCTTCTGTGGCCCTTCCTTCCTGCCAGGTAAGCGACCTGCGCAATCAGGTCTTCCCAGAGGATGGGCTGGGCTCGTTCCCAGGTGAGGGTCGCGTGGTGGGCCGGCAGAAAAGGCGCAAGGACAGGGTGGAGGATACTTCAGGTAAGCTGGGCCCAAGGCTGGCTGGGGGGCTGTGCAGAGCAATGCCAGGTGGCCTCTGCCGGCCCTTGCTGTCCCTCCTGGGCCAAGGTCCCCGATGCCCTCTCTGCAGGCTCCAGGATGACTGCTGAGAAATTCCTGAATAGGCTTCCCAAGTGTGTGACATCCGACAGGGAGAGGTGATTGACATCCGGGGCCCCATCAGGGACGCCTTGCAGGTGAGGCCTGCCCTAATTCCCCCAGCTTTCTCCAGGGGACTTTTTTTTTACCAACCTTGGCTCAGCCTACAGTGTCTTTCCTGGAGGCTCAGGCCTATAGGCCCGAGCAAAGGCCAGGATGGCAAGCACACCCTCAGAACTGTATGGTGTCTCCGTGGAGCTGGTGAGGACTCTGTGCTCTACTCCACAGGACAGCTGGGGTGGGGGTGGGGGATGAGCCCAAGGTCCCGGGCATGTCCTTGAGCTTGGCCTAGGAGCTCCTTCTCAATTGTCCCGCAGGCCTTTCAGATGCCACGAGTTCATTATCTTCTGTCATCACCCCGCTCTTCTACCCAGGTCTCCACCCGAGAAAGGGGTGCCAAGGCTGTCTCCGACTCATCTCCTTTGTCCAAGTTGTCTTGTCCAGTCTGGCCACCCCTCAAGTTCCTGGCTGCAGCCCATCTCCCTAGTCTAGGCTGCAGGGTGTCTCACACCCTTTCTTGTGCTGACCTTCCCACCTCCCTCCTGCTCCTGCTAGTCATGGCCCTCTGCAGCCTTGGTTACTGGGACTGCCTGGGGATTCTTGGAGAAAGCCAAGGCCCTTATGCTGACCCTGAGCATCTGTTTTGTACCAGTGCCCTCCCCATTTCTAGCCTTCCCTCCCTTCTCTCCTGTCTCACTTGTTTCCTTGCTTCAAGAGCTGTAAACTGCTGCCAGGCTCCTGACCACATCCCTCTTTCAGGTTCTTGTTGGTCAGGATCTTTGTGCCGTAGGGACTGTGAGGGCTACACTGAGGAAAAAAAGAAACTGTGTTGAAAAGCAAAAAGAAAGAAAAAAAGAATAGAAAGGCCAGGGAGATTGTACTTACTTTGCCTTCTGTAATTATACCTAGGTGGTATCAGGCTAAAATGAGTTTCTGAGTAAGTAAAAGAAGGATGAAGGCACCAAACAGCATCATAAAGTCTGAAAATGGAGGAAAAAAAGAAAAGTCACCTCAGTGTGATAGAGAGGGCTCAGCGCAAGAATATCAGGAAAAAACACAGCACCAGGTCATCTTTCAAGGTTCAAGATTACAACTTTGACTTTATGGTAGGGTTGTGATCAAACTTAAGAACCTATGCAAGTTAGGCAAGTACTCCAATCATGATGATACTCTCAGCAATAGTTAGACTTTTATTTTAAAAAATTGAAATTATTTACTTTAATTTTGTTTATGAGAGTTTTGCCATCTGAGCCCCTGAAACAGGTCGTGGGTCACCAGGTGGTGCTGAGACTCTAACCCGGGTCTCTACAAGAGCAACAAGTGCTCTCAATCACCGAGTCAACTCTCCCAACCCTAGGAAAACTATTTTTTAAAGATTAGTATGCCTAAATATTAAGAACATGGAAACAAAGTACAAATCCAACTCCTTTTCTGTTTGTCCAATCGTCCTTCTGCCACAGAAACTGTCAAATTCTCTACTTCCTACTCCCAGACCTACGGGTAGTGAGATCAGAACAGTTAACACCCAGTTTCTGAGACTTCAGAATGTTCAGGAAGTTCTGGGTATTTCAACTCTACCTTCCTGGTGCTTCCCGCAATACACATCCAAGAAGAAACAAGGTAGATTGAAGTTTGGATAAAGGAAATTTTGAACATCGACCTCGAACACCTGCAAGTTATCAGGAAGTTGTGTAAAAATGCAGAAATAGCTCCTGAATCATTTCCTCTCCACCTCAACTGCCACTGACCCACACCCTGACTATCCCGCAAACACCCAGACACCACCTTAAACCCTTATGTGGCTGTGATGTAGAAGACATTAGGATACTATATGGGTTCACAGATATGTTATGAGAGCTCCCCAGAAAATATTAGCCAACAGAAAAAAGTATAACTGCCATTTTCAATGTGCATGAGTGTTGGGATCTCTGGTATCTTTATGGGACTCAAATGGAAGGAAAAATATGAATCAGAGGCTGTGGTGGCAGTGAGAAGAACTTCCTGATGCTTCTTTTGGGAAACCACAGGCCAAGAAATTTAAAAGGCAATCACAACCCACTCTGGAAACCAAGTGTGCTTCAGCTCAAGGACAGCAAGGCAGGTCCTGTGTTTACCAAACATCAGGAGTCTGTACATTGGTGGGGAACATTCAGTGGTGCCTCCTGTCTCAGGGACAGTGGCCCCATCCACCTCTGGAGACACCTCAGCACACCAGAAAGGTCAATTTCAGTTCACAGAGACAGAGCTGTTCAAAGAGTCACAAACATTAACAGAGCTCAATCTTCTCATCAGAGCTAGGCAGCACCTGGGACAAAAACAACTTTCAGACAGCGCACGCCTTGCCCCTGCCTACTTACAGTTAAGCACAGCATGTGAACTGGAGAACTAAGATGAACACAAACATTCGCTCCAGCAGATCCCCAGATCCAGCCATTTACAGAGGAGGGACTGGTGTGGTGGCAAAGGAAATCGGTAGCTCATCTGACATGGAAGCAGGCATCCCTTTCCTTCTGGATCACACCCAGAAAATAAACTCCATAAGATAGTGTCCTCATCCAAGGGGGGAACAGAACTCCTTTGTCCTCCAAACTGCTACTGGACAAGGCTGCAGGGAAAAGATGCCTCATTCCTCCTGCGCTTCTGCACTGCCTGACCAGGGACCACGGGAACACAGCCTGTGGCTACCCCGGCAGCCTCTCTGCTTTACATCTCTGGCTGCAATGTCACTGTTCCCTGTCTACTACCTTCTGCAGTGTCTATGCTGAGAAGCAGCTAAGCTTCATATGCAACTCCACACCAGTGCAGAGGAGCCCAGCGAAACCCACTGAAAGGCGTGTCCCTGGAACCCAGCACTGAACACCAAGCCCTGTATGAGATGGTTTCTGTCCCTCCCCCACATTTGTTCCTATCCAGGTGATAAGGACAAGCAGAGGAATGAGACAGCCCACAAAGCACAGAGGGGAGGAAAGAGCAGAAGAGGGAAGGGTGAAATGGAAGTAAGAATGAGAGATGAAATCTGGAAGGGCCTGCAGGGTCCTCCCACTAAGTGCCTGAACCCCTTCAAGAGCCCAGTCATTTAAAGCACTGACTCTCTTTTTGACTTCACAGAGGAATGAAACCCAAGAAGCCCAGATCCCACTGCCTTCTCCAGCCCAGTCAGCCAGCTCAGTGGGTCTCAAACATCAGTGTTTGAGGAGCCCTGCCTTCAGCTGGTGCAAGGCAACACCCACAGATCTCAATTTTTACAAACGTGAGCCCCATTCTTGGAGAAGTCCTTCCTATCATTAGTAGGACTCTCTCTCTCTCTCTCTCTCTCTCTCTCTCTCTCTCTCTCTCTCGCACACAATTACACACTTGTTGTACCCATATTGCTCCCCACCTCTCCTATCTTAAAACAAAGCAATTAAATGTAGAACGGCAAACTATGTACAACTATTGAGAGACAGCCTGACATCAGGCTCTGACTAGAGCACACCAACTGTGAGGCCTCGGCAAATGATTGTCTTAGTCCCCTTCTCTGTACACTGAGGCTCATCAAATGTCCTTTTGCCACTGAGAAGACCACATGAGAACATGGAGTGTAGCACAGTGTCCAGTAGGCATGTGCTGTGCACAGATCTGTTGACTGATGCAGTATGTGAACTATGAAGCTCATTGCACAGGAGGGCAAATGAACAGAGTGATGAGGGCAAGGAACCTTTGCAGAGCTCAGCATCATCCTTCTAAGGGACTTCCCTTTGTCCTCCTAGCCACACCCCACCTGGATCTGACTCATGGACACTGCGGTCTCAACAGAGCTATCAAATTTACACTGGACTTTATGATTTATAAATAACATTAAAATTTTTATAGTATGTATTTTCATTTTCTCCTCTTCCTTGTTACTTTTTTTCTAGGACATCTGGTTTGTTTGGTTTTTTTTTTTCAACCCTCCTCTCATTCTCTCCCTGCTTCTCCCTGGTAATTTATGTGTGATGTCGGGCTAAGAATATCTGGTAACATTCCTAAAACAAATCACTCTAAATCACTAAAGAAATGGTTGGGAGAGGCACACAGTCACGTGTCTTATGTCTGGGGACAAGCCTGCAATTCCCATAAAACCAGAGACCCTCTGCGCTCACCCTCTTCTCCCTCAGCCTCCTAGAGCATGGGTCTCTCCTGGCTGCCTGGGAGCTCTGTGGCTAGAGAGCCCATGGGTTCCCCATCCAATATAAGCCAAACTCGGTTCACATCTCATTCCCAGCCATCTGAACCCTTGTCCTTGTCTGATCCACCCCTGAGAGTAAAGCAGACAGCTCAGAGCCACCATTAGCCCTTTCCCTGTGACCGTCTCTTCTTTCCTTCTTAGTCACAAAGACCTGCCAATTCCCAAATGGCCCTCACCGTCCCCTCTGCTTCATGGCTTCTGGTCCTCCTGGCTGGGAGCTATCTCTCAGGTGGACTGTCTGTAGAACACAGCTACCATAATGTCCTGAGAAACAGATAAAGAGTTCACTTCCCACTTAAAGCCCCTGATGATTCCCCACTCATAAGAGTCCAAACTCCTCCAAAGCATCAGAACTGGGAGTTGGGATTTCCACAATTTGGCAGGAACCCACCTAAGAGGTCCAGAATAAGACCTGTCCAAAAGTATCATTCCATCCTCCTACAAGGCAGCCCAGTGGCTGCACATGACTGAGGGTGGAGACTCAGGCTCAGGAGGATACACACATCTCACTGAAGAAAAGCAAACATCACTGACAGTCACGCAGTCATGTTCTGAGTCTAGAGTTCATCTTCAGTCTCATCTTAAAGAAGTCACAGCTAAGGCCTGGAGAGGCAAATCTACTCAATTCAAGGTCAGAACTCAGTAGGCCAGGTCCTGACCCCCAGCTCTTGTTTCATCTGCCAACAGCCTGAATGACTCTCCTCTGCAAAAGGTCAGGGTCCCCACAGCTTTCCCTTTGACTGGACACTTCACCCCACCCCCACACCTGCAGAGAGAGCTAGCCCAGAGGAACAGAACAGGAAGAAGTGAGCTTGGGCACTGCTTCAGGACCAGATACAAGGCCTTTTGACGCTGAAAAAAATAGACCATCGTCCCATGGGTGTTATGGTTAATTGTCACTTTAAGAGACAAGCCACGCCCACTCCCAGTGACCCCTCTGCCCTTTCTTGCCATCTTGATTCTCACTGTTCCCTTTGAGTGTGCACACTCGCACCCTCTCTTCCACTCCCTTTTCTGTCTCTCTCTTCTTCTCTTTCTTCCCCCCCTCTAAGTAATAAATATCCAATTATATTCTGTACAATGTGTCTGTCCATGTGCCTTCTACCCGCCGCCTGCTCACACACCTGGGCTTGCTGGGACCAGCCTGCCCGGGACCAGCCACTGCTCGGGACCAGCAGCCGTCTCTGCCTAGGACTGGCTGCTCTATGGGCCCGCTGCCTACTGCCGCCAGAAATCTTGCAGCATTTTCAGCAATTGGTGCCTTGACTCGGATAAGTGCTCCTGCCCGGAACTCCTCTCCCAGGGTCAGGATCCTGAACCAGGGTTTTTTTCCACTCCCACCACCACCACCGGGTTCCTGGCTTCAATCAGTGAGTATCCCCCCCCTCCCCCGTTCTGCTATGGTTGCTTCCCTTGGCTGGAATCGTGTTTGGACTGACCGGGGTTAGCAAGCCCGTATTTTAGCACTGTACACTCCCCATGCAGTGCATTCCACTGGAGGCCCAGGGTCCCCCAGTTTCTTCATCTCCTTTTTTCATTTCTTTACTTTTTCTTCCCTCGTCATAATACCACTCAGAGTGGCCCCAGCCTCTCTGGTTTCTGAGTCACCCTGAACGACCAGATCCAGCCAGGCCATAACACCCCACTCACGGCCCGAGAACGCTCTTTGACAAGTCCTGGGTGTTCGCACTGATTTGCACCCATTCCTGTTATAGGCCTTTGGGTGCCACTGTTTCACGAGTTTTCATGATTCTGGCTGTGGGTAGCAACCACACATGTCAGCTCCCTGGCTTTTTTAAAATTTCAGCTGGCATTTTCAATTCCACTCATGGCATGGTGCAGTTTTCTCGGTTCCAGCCTTTTGCCCACCTCTGCGGCTTGTAGTATAGCATGGTGGCTCAGCGGATCATACCTTTAGGTCCCTCTTATTAAGCTTAAAAATCTTTACATCTCAAAAAATTGTGGCTTTTTTCATATAACACATGGCTGCCGCAATTTTGACTGGGTTCAGGTGACTTTGCCACCATCTTGACTGAGAGCCAGGTCACGTGACCAAGCTCTCCCATCTTTACTTAAGTATACCCTGCCTTGTCTCCCGGTTTGCACTAAAATCCTCTTGTTGACTCTGTTACATGTGTTCTGTACAGTGGCATGCCTTTGGTAGGGCCCATCAAAAGCATCCACGTTGCCCAATTCCTGTTCACTCTTTCTGTGTATAATAATTGTTCATTACATCTCATTTCAGACTACAAAATCATAAGTCTCATGTTTTAAACTGGTATGTACTTTTAAGTCTCTTACAAAAATGCCTGATATTTAATACAACCCTCATTTAAAATATATTAAGCTGTTCTCTACTATTGTCAGTTCTGTCATTATATTGCAAGTAGTTTTTTCTTCTGCCTTTTTACGAGTGTAAATCTTACCTGTTAAGAGCCAGTACAGTCAAACTCAGACCTAACCTTCCAGACAGATTCTATACTGCAGTTATACCTAATAAACAACCCTCAACTGCTCAGAGATCTGGGGAATGTGATATTTAAATATTCAATTATTAGAAACTTTTCACAACAAAAACATACAGGTTGGCTCCTAGCAGCAGCTCTCTATTTCCTTCACAGAAGAAAGAAGACAAACGGTCACAGAACGTTCATCTGCAGTTCACTTCAACTGCCAAGCGCTGGCCATTGGACAAAACTGCCTTTCATCTAAACTAAAGATCTCCTGACGTGGACAGAATCGCTGGAATCGACAGCCTAGCTCCTCAGGTCAAGGCAGGGCTGTCTTCCTATAGATTTCTTAGCCCACAGGATCTCTTGGGGCCTGACAAGCCCTGTGCTAAACAGCAAAAGGCAAATGCAACCTTCAGAGATCATGGGGGACCCAAAAAGAGTAGCTCTGGGTGCCAACCAAATAAGTTCTCTGTCATTTTTTAAATCAATAACTCAAGTAAAATCTTATCCTTCTCAAAGATCTCTGATACATTTTGATAGCTGAGAGGTTTTGCCAGGTACCTCATCAAACAAATTTCAGATCAAATTTCTCTCTTATGCTGCCTTCCATAGTCTTAAAAAATACTTTTCATTGTACAAAATATGTCACAGTACAAAATATGCCACAGTCATTATGTGTCTAAAACTTCTGTTTTCACAAACCCAAGGAATTCTTGTGAGTTTCAGGGAGCCGAATTAAAGGATCTACCTTAAACAGGTCAGATACATCCCCCTCAATTCCCTGGTCTTAATTTTTTTTTCCTTAATTTAACTTTGTTCTTTGTTCTGCCAATACCTTAAACAGGTATAAGAGACTCCAAACATTTCCATGCCACAAACACTGGACAGGAACAGAGAGACCAGCTATGCCAGGATGTGGCCAACACCCAGCCTTCTCAGATCCCCCCTTCAAAGACAATGCCCACAAATAAGCCGGAAGCAGTCTTGAGAATCAGCTGCCTCAATTCCATCAACCTGTGGTATCTAATTTCCCAATTTTTATTATAAAAAAGAGCTGGGAATGTTATGGTTAATTATCACTTTAAGAGACAAGCCACGCCCACTCCCAGTGACCCTGGCCCTTCTCTCGCCATCTTGATTCTCACTGTTCCTTTTGGCGCACACATTCGCACCCTCTCTTGTGCTCCCTTTTCTGTCACTCTCCTCTTCTCTTTCTCCCCCCCCCCCAGGTAATAGATATCCAATTCTATTCTGTACAATGTGTCTGTCCAAGTGCCTTCTACCCGCCACGTGCTCACACTCCCGGGCTCGCCTGGAACCAGCCTGCCTGGGAGCAGCAAATGTTCGGGACCAGCTGCTCTATGGGCCCGCTGCCTACTGCCGCCAGGGATCTTGCAGCATTTTTAACAATGGGTAAGACCAAACCATAGCAGGAGCTAGAAAACGAGTTTCTTCGTGCCCAGAGCCATGAACTGTAAGAGCAGAGGTTGGAGAAGGGGAGAAAAGGCTGGGTCCTTTAAGAATAGAGCAATCACAACAGGCTCTACTCACCTGCCCCACACCTACCCCATACCCTGGTTTTGCTGGATTTGGGTTTATTTTCCCTCACAGTTCCCCACATGGCTTTGTGAGTCTCTCAGGATCTCGGAAAACTGGGAAAGGTGTGGCTTCCTGGAGGACAGAGGAGTCAATGAAGCATCAAGGAACTGGACAGCTCCATCAGCAGGCTTTTAGAGAGGTTGTTTTATCACTGCCTTACTTGCCAGGGAAAGGCAACAACAACAACAGCCCTGAGCTGCAAACCTCAGCAAACTGGGAGGAGCCTGTCTGGAGACTGGGTGCCTGCCTACCTCAGCAATGCAGGAGACAGTCTGGGGGGAGCACAAGAGGCTGAGCCCGAACCAGGATTTCAGAACTTCCTTCCATGCCAGCAAGTGCAAAGCCACTGGACATTGACTCCAGGTTGCTATAGCATGTCAGTTCACCCGACAAAAAGCTACAGATCATTTTCTTTGATGACATTCATGCGATGAACGATTCAGACAGGCAAGATCTACTTAAGTAAGGACAAAGACTTCCCCTCCTCCACCTGCCACAGTCTTCCTCTGGTCTTTGAACTCATTCCTATCATCAAACGATAAATTTCAGAGACCCAGGAGATGTTCCTGAGGTGCACTGAACACGTCTCTACTTACATGATGGGAACCAAATATAAAATCAGAAGAGGAAACAACTATTCCCATATGCTAACCCCTGGAACACGAAGACTACAGGCATTCATTCCCCAGTTCTTACAGTTTCAAGTGAGTCTCTAGGGAAAAATCAAGGCTTCAAGAAGAATTTTAAGAAAACTGCAGGTTGAGGGGTGAATCTGACTCTGCCTGCTACAGCTCCTGGAGCTTTCTGCGTACCTTGGCCCATAGCACCTTCAATTTTCAGAGTCAGGGACAGGCGGCAGACAATTCCTTATGCTTTCTTGTCTGTCCCTGACTTACTTTCAGAGACCCTCTTAACTTCATTTGAACCACTGATGTATCCAGGAAGATTTCTATCCCAAGAGACGGACTTCATTGCATTTGAAATTTCCTACTCATCAGACAGACAGCGTTTCCAGGTTCCAATGGCTTCTGTATTGTAATGGCAGCCATTATTGTACCTAACACAAATGGCCTGTCTTTCTTTCTTTTTTTTCTTTTTTGTTTTTGTTGTTGTTTCAAGATAGGGTTTCATTGTGTAGCCCTGGTTGTCCTAGAACTCGCTTCAGACCGGGTAGATCACAGAGATCTGCCTGCCTCTATCTACTGAGTGCTGGGCTTAAAGGCCTGCACCACCACTGCCGACCCCACGGTACCCTTTCTATTCTTCACCAGGGGCATAAACTCATATGCTTTCCTCCTCTATCTTTCACTTGACTGAATGGTAGAGAAAGAGAACAGACTTGGAGGCAATGCTCTGTAGCTCTGGCCGGATGACCCTGGGCAGAACCTTCACCTCCTCCATCTCAGCTGTAGCACAAGGGTCATTCTTACTGCATCAGAAGGTGACAGGAAGAGAGTAAATAAAACCACACACTTGCCTGGGCTGTGATCGTCCCCCATAAGCATCCTTGTAGTCCTCTCCTCTCGCCATTCAGTTCTCTCTTTTTCCCTTTGCCTTTAACGACATCCTTGGCCTACCCTGCCATGAGGCACAGTCCTGCGTGCTCCCTTCTGTTCTGACTCTGCTCCAGTGTTTTCTCCAGGGAGTCTGCTGTCATCTCAGGTTGCCCAGTGTGTTTATATGAGGGAATCCAGCTTTAAGAAGTCCTTTTTATGTTCAAATAAAACACATGCTCTCTCTGCTTACATACACCAGCCCCAAACCTGTTCTGGTGCACACAACCATTTCCTTATTGGAG